TAGGTTTGTGACATGCCTTGGTGGTTTTGCAACTAGGCCTGATGTTGTTGGGCTGGGGTCTTTCATATACATAAAATTGTTTTTAAATCAGCAACAAAAAAACTCCGTCTTCTTTACGATAAATGGTATAGACAAAAGCCTTTTAGCTAACATCATACTTAAGATTAAACGCTTTCCCCTGACCATAGGAACARAGCAAGAAGTTTTGCTCTGACTTCTGTTCAACATTGCACTGGCAGTTCAGCCAATTCAATGAAGTAGAAAAAAATTAAAAAGAAATTAAATCCTCCATAATGGAAAGAAGTGAACCTGTCTTTATTTGTTGATGGCATGATCTCTTTTTAATTCTAATTTGTTATATGACAGTACAATGCATTACAATTCATATTACACATGGAGCACAATTTTTCATATCTGGTTGTATACAAAGTAGAGTCACACCATTTGTTTCTTCATACATGTGATACTGCCTGTTATTGGTGAAGAGTCCTGCTTCCTCACATGTTGAAGTTTGAACATTAGAGAAGCACACAGAGGCAAGCAATTAAAGCAGAGTTTATTTAAAAAGGGGTAACAGGGAGAAGGGGACCATAGCTGGTATCCTGGTATCTCCAGAAGCGAGGTGTTCTGCCCTTTTTATATGTCCTGGGCTCCCTTCATTTTCCTGCCCTCTTCGCCTTCAGTTTCTCCTTCTTGCCTAGCCCCAGGGATGCTCCCTAGGAGGGCCAAAAGGTGGGAAACAGGTGGGCTGAAGGGGGAAGGGCAGGATGGCGCCATCCAGCACACATTAACAATCTTATAGCTCCCTATAGGGAGGAGCAACTCCTGGGATGGGTTACCTTAGCAACAGATTGGAGCAGGAGCAGGTTCTTAGTGGAGGAAGGGCTCTAGGAATTAACATTTCATTCTCCAACTTCTGGGACTCACTCAAAATTAGCCTCCTGGATCCTCTTCTGGGGATACCAGGATACCAGCTATCAATACCTGTCTATACTGACTGCCTAATYCTGGCTTCACCGTATTTAGGATCATGATGTCCAGCTCATTCCASGGTCTTTCCCACCCCTATACCCYCTCCCTTCTCTCCCTCCCCTTTGCCCTGTCTAGAGCTCATCTAACCCTACCACGGTCTCCCCAACCCCATGACGATTCAGCCTCCGCATAGCAGAGAAACTGTTCGCATTTGACTGGAGAATATAATGCTAAGGGAAGTTAGCCAATCCCCCCAAACCCAGCCCGTGTTTTCTCTGATGGCATGATCTTAAAGCAAAACCCCTCCTGAAATTCATGGGGCAAACAGCGGTGCAAATGGAAAAGAAAATAAAGTTGAAACATTTGAACGTCATAACTGAAGAACTTTATCGGAGCCTCCAGTAACCTCGTCAATGTGGTCCTGGAGTAGGGACAGACACAGCCGCCGGGCACCTCCGCGCTCCCCCCCGGCCCTGGCCCACGCCCCGGGCCCAGCAGGAGTCCTCGCGCCAGCCCAGGGCGAGCCCCGGACTCCAGACTCCAGGCTCCGGCGCAGGCGCAGAGGCGAGGCCACCGGTCCAGCTGCGAAACGGGCTCCGCGCCGGCTTAAGCGTTCCGCGCTGGGAACTCCCCGCGGAGGCGTCGTCGCGGACGTGAGTGTCCCCGCGGCCCTTCCGGCCTCCGCGCGCCCGGCGCCGAAGGTTCCGCGGCCGGCGCGGTCCCGGCTGCGGCGGGCGAGCGGGGCGGGGCCGAGGCCCGGGCGGAGGGAGGGCCGCGAGCGGGACGGGGCGGGGCCGGAGCTCGGGCGCGCGGTAGTCGGTCGGGCGCGCGCCGCCCTCGCGGGGTGGACCCCTGCGGCTGGCTCCTTTGTGCACCGCGAAGGGCGCTGCAGAAGCGAGGTCGGTGCCAGACCCCACTCTGGCCTCCTTTCACCTCGGACCGTCTGAGGCTGAAGAGCGGGAAATACCGGAGGCGGGAGCTGGGTGCAGGAGAAAGTGCGCGGGAGTTCGGTGGCCGGAGCTGGTGGGGAGCCGCTGCTGTCCGCGGGGAAGGTCCGCGCAGGGCTGGTCTGTTGCTGGTGGAGCGGCACTGTCTGACCAGTCCACCTGAGAGGAGGACGTCTGTAGGGCAGCGAGGCGGCCCACAGGACATGAGGAAGAAAGCAGAAAAGGAGGGCCTCCTTGCACCTCAGGTCAGAGGGACCCCTTGGGGGAACCTGGAGAAGGGGCATGACCGGAATCCCCGATCTGTGGCGACAGTGACCCTTGGCTGCTCTGAAGTGTGATTTGGGGGCTCTCCCTGAAAATTTGGTCCCATCTCCAGCCCTCGCCATTTCACGTGCCTGCCCCAAAGAAGAAAGAAGGCCTGTGTGCAATGCTGAGGTCCAGCAGCTGCGCAAGAGGCTCACAAGTACTGAGGGCATCGCTCTCTGAATGTACAGCTTCACGATCTTCAGATGAGTTGCGGGAGGAGCTTAGCAGTAATATCATCCCCTTGTGTGGTATATGATATTCTTAGTTGTAAAGGGTTTGCCATATTTTAACATGTAGCAGTCACAGAAGCTTTGTAAGAAAAGATAAGCCAGTATAAGCCATGGCATTTTACAGGGTGGGGCCAGATTTTTCAGAAGGTTGAGTAACTTGCCCAGGGAAGCACAGCCCCGAGCAGGGTCCGTTACCTTCTGTTTTGACAGTTTTGGGATGAAGTAAGGAGACTATTGCCATCCCATGCTCTTTTTGAACTCATATCCCATGTGAGGAAATTGACAAAGAGGTCAGATCACCTAGAATTTCAAGAAAGATTTAGTCTAGATCTGTCCCTTTTATCCTTTATCATCAAAAATGGCCTTTGACTCCAGACAGAAGGACTATTGCTCATTTGCTTGCTGACTGCCCTCGATGTCTTCCTTAGTGTTATCACTACTCTAATGCATCCTCAGGTGATTCTGTTGTCATTCTGTTTCTGGGAAGAGCTGTGGTTATGTCTGGGCATTCATTTTCCTCTTCATCTTTAGGGTTGCACTCAGTTGGCCAGATGTGGACATTACTAGACCATGATTCTGGATGCCTTAGGGTAAGACATTTTCCTTGCTCTGTTGATCAAAAACAAAGCCAAGAAGAGGCCACAGGGGGAAAGGCGACTGTTTACTTCTCCATATCTGTATCCCACATCGATTTTTTTCCTCTTTTCTGAAARTCTGCCTTCATCTTGCCCAGCTGATATTTCTCTTTTGCAGAACTTCTCTTCTTGGAGGAGTCTGCCAGATTTTTCTTCCCAGGGTAGGACTATTGCTCATTTGCTTGCTAACTGCCCTCCATGTCTTCCTCGGTGCGGTCACTGATCTGATGCATCATTAGGTGATTCGAGAACACAGCCTTATGGAGCTGTTTCTTGAATGGTCTTGTCTGAAATGTGGTGGTGTCCCTGGGTTTGAAAGAGTGGTTTCATCTTAGTCTTAACCCATTGGTCTAGGTAGGTAGATAGGTGTCTCAGAGTGTGGGATCCAAAACTAAACTACTAGACATCAGCTTTAGAAAAGAAATCAAGTCCAACATCTTTGCTTTACAGATGAGAAAATATAAAACTAGACTGTTTTTTCCCCCTCTAGTTTCTATTTAGCTACCAATAAGCTATGACCAAAACCCAGATTAGCTGGTCAATGCTGTACCACGGAACGTCTGTCTAACGTTTCTCCAAAGTGTGCTGAGGCTGCCACTGACCTGTCGGGGAGGGATGGAGGGTTTAGTCCTTGGGTTTCACAGAWAGGGCTTTTAGTCTGATTGGAATTCACTACATTTTCCCAGGGACAACCCCCMGGAACTGGACACTCCCTAACCTCAGGATACTTTGAAGTCAAGGTCTACTGGTATCCTGGGATCAGGAGTTGAGTTTCCTGGCCACTGAAGGGCCAAAGGACTGGAAGTGTGACTCGGTGCTCTTTTCCTGTCTGTCGAGAAGACCAGATCTATATGCTATAGTACCTCTGAGTCCAGCATTTATCATGTGACTCCTCTGTACTTCCAGTTCATTGTTGATGTTGTGGGACTAACAGTTCCACTCTCACAGAGTTACTGCAAGGAGTAAACAAGTCAGTATTTGTGAATACAGGCTTAGAACAGGCAAAGCAAAAAAAGGACCCTTTCTGCAGGCTGCATCGTTTCCAAGTCAGGCTCCTTTCAGGTTCCTTATTTTTCCTTTCTTCTTCTTCTTTTTTTTTTGTTTTCAAGGTGGAAACAATAACATTTTGTGTTCATCATGTGTCACATACCCAAACTTACATAATGCATACTGCAGTCATATATATAATGTACTTACCTAAAATGCAAAACATTTTGAGGCTCTTGTACTATACAATACATACACATTAGTTGGATTAAAATTGCATATCAAACTGGCAGTTTAATAATCATTATACTACTAATAAGCTTAAGCCTGAATCCTGAACTTGAAGTTATGCGGGAATGTCTGTCATCCTTGGCTGCCACTAAATTACAATAGCGGCAATCATTGTAACAATCCAGAAATCCCCCCAAATTCCCCAAACCCTCTGTAGGATGCTGCACTGAAGCCTACGGATCACTATAACTAAAGAATAACAGTGAACTGCCAACAAAATAACTATGGAGTAGCTTAAGGATCTGGGTGGGCTGCAAGAATCAAAGCCAGCCAGGCTCACAGCAGGGCATACTCCTGTTAAGGAACACTGGTGTCATGAAGTTTGCAACTGGATTTTAATGCAAAGGTTCCATTAAAGGTTCCATTAATGGGTTGAAAGGCCACCCATTCAACCCAGCAGTAGGGYGCTTGTGTTCCCTGTTTCCAGTTGAAAGGCAAAATTAGGCATAAGGTATCCTCATGTTGCTCTTGAGGTTCTCAATGTGTAGCTTCTTGGTAGAATCTCCATGTCTTAGGAGATTCCCAGTCTATGAGAAAGGAAAAACTGGAAAACCAGGTAAACTCCCTAATCCAGCAGATCTCAATTTGTGCTGAAAGCAGAAACATTTGGGGAACTGTTTATAGTCCATGGCCTCCTGTCATGCAAGAACTCCAGATAAATTTACAAGAAAACAGTCCAGATGTGCAAGAAGATCTTCAGATTTTCCCRTTTTCCCAATAGAAAGATGCTGGAGCCAGGAATTGTACTAAAATACAAATGCCAGGGCCATCAGATTTACTAGGCTGAGGCAAGGCCCAGATAACCAGAGTGACAAATCACATAAGTGACTTAGGAGTGTGTATGTGTCACCTGTCTTTTGCAAATTCTCGCCTCTTTCAGATATCCAATCTTCAGCTTCTCCTGCCACAGCCTCCGTGAAAGTGCAGCTGCCTTTTCTATAGAGCACGGGATTGAGATGGAGCTGTGAAGAGTGTGGTCGCCAGCACCCGCAGCCTTGGGTTAAATAATCACTCCAGTCAGCAGGAGTCCCAGCATGTGAACTGGACCTGACCAGCTGAAGGAGAACCGCTCTTGAGGCAGCCCACAAGACCAGGACAGGTGAGTGGGATCACCAAAGATCACCCCTTTGGAATTCAGGAGGAAGTTCTGTCCAAGCCTTTGCAGTTACTTTGCTGTGTGTTCTAGGCAAGTTGCTTAGGCTGTTTTCTCAGCCCATCTGTGAGCACATTGGCTGAGATGAGTGCTGGTGCTGGTGAGCTCCTAGCAGTCTGTGACTTTAATCTTCTTTAGAAGACTACCTGAAGTAGTTGAAGTCAGGGAAGATGGTATTTCTGAATAATTGTCACCTTTCAGTGCCAGGAAAATGGCCATTTGAATTCTGATGGCACCCTTGCTGCTTTGCAAGTCTTCCTCTCTTCACCCTGCCCTGGTCCTGTCCTGTGACCAGTCAGCCACAGTAACAGGGCATTTACCAGCAGGTTCTCTCACTGATCGCTGGCTGGCATGTGCACATTTCCTTTTTTTTTTTTGAGTTAGCATATTAAGCAGTCCCTCTTCCCATATTTCTTGATATCTCTGTGCTTATTTTGTCTACTGCCAAAACTGCCACTGCCTCTCTTCTTCTGCTTCTTACTTCTCTTCCATTATCTCACTTTATTTTCTCCTCAGATAAAATTGCTAGTGGGCACGAATTGCAGATTAGTTGTTGTTTTCCCTGATGATTTATTTTCCTTGTGATCCACACTAGACACAGGTGACATCTGCACTTTAAATGTCTTCCAGACAGGGAGATTTGAACTGCACCAAAGTATCAACAACAATCAGTCTGTTTCTGAAGAACTGGAGTTTCAGGATCAGCAATGAAAAGTCTCAGAGGGAATGGTGTCCAGGGTCCTGACAGTGAAGAAGGCTGTAAGAGACAGAGCCAKTCATCAAGGCGGGTAAAATGTCCTGCACAGAAAAAACTCTCTTTTGAGAAAACAGCAATGAAGCAAGAATCAGTGACGTTGAAGGATATTTTCAATGGGGCAGGACACCCTGAGTCCACTGACTTTGGACCAAGGTCCAACCTTGGTGTACAACAGAAAATTCCAAAGGGAGATAAATACCCTATATCCAGGGAACACTCCAAAGATAGCCCAGAATTCATTCAACACCCAAAACTCCTCCCACAAAAGAAACCCTGTAAAGGCAACCCCTGTGGGAGGGCTTCTGGACGCCAGTCAGGCCTTATTGTTCACAGGAGCATTCATGGCAGAGGAAAGCCTTTTGGATGCCGMGAGTGTGGCAGGACTTTCAGTCGAAGCACACACCTTATTGAACATCAAAGAACTCACACTGGAGAGAGACCTTATGAGTGCAGCGAATGTGGAAGGGCCTTCAGCCGGAGCACACATCTTSGTCTGCATCAGAGGATCCACACTGGAGAGAAGCCCTACGAGTGCCAGGAATGCGGAAAGGCCTTCAGCCGGAGCACTAACCTCAACCAACATCAGCGAACTCATACTCAGGTGAAGCCTYATGAGTGTGGTGCATGTGGGCAAGCCTTCAGTGACCGGTCAACCGTAATCCAGCACCAACGCATACACACTGGAGAGAATCCCTACAAGTGCAGTCAGTGTGGGAAATCCTTCAGCTGGGTCTCCTCTCTCTCGGAACACCAGAGAACACACACAGGGGAGAATCCCTATGAGTGCAGCGACTGTGGGAAGGTGTTCAGTCGCAGCTCCTCCCTTTCTGAGCACCAGCGGACCCACACTGGGGAGAAGCCCCATGTGTGCAGGGAGTGTGGAAAAGGCTTCAGTCGCAGCTCCTGCCTCAGGACTCACCAGAGAACGCATACCGGAGAGAAGCCTTACTTATGCCATGCCTGTGGGAAGGCCTTCAGTCAKAGCTCGACTCTTGTCAGACACCAGCAGCTTCACACTGAGGAGCAATGCTGAGCCTGCACCAGGCTCCACAAGAGCACCTGCACGTCCTCCTCACAGAACGCCTGGATTCAGACACTTGGACCACTAGCCACCCCAGTTTCAACCTTTCTTCCACCCCTTTCTCTGCTTCTTTCCTTCTCCTCCTTCCTCTCACTCTCCCCGAAATGCTCAAATGAGTGATCAGTAAAACAAAGGGATGGCCTTCAGAGGCTAACATGCTCAATCTCGTGTTCTGAAAGGCTCCAACCTTCGCACACACAGCTGCCTGRCACTCTGTGGTTTGTCACCTTGATTTTCCATAGGGCTTGAGTCTCCACTCAGTGAATCATGTTTCCCAACCACTTCTGACCAGTTTGGGATAGTGGTATTGAGGCAAATCTCCTGACTTAGAAAAACAGATTTTTCTTGTCTCCCACCCTTGCCTTTTCACCATAGTATTTTCCCTCAAAGAATAATCCATAGTTTTACTAATGTGCCTAACGAATCCTGATTTCCTTTTATTAAATACTTACCAAGAACTTCCTAAAAAATCATAGAGACATTTCGTTCCTTCAATATTTGGGGGGGGGTGCTTTCAGTTGCTGTCCTGTTTTTAAGAACTTTTCTTTTGTTTCCAGACTTCATGAAACTCAGAGCCTCTGGCTTTGACTTTTACCAGTCTGATCTCAAGGATAAACCCAGGACCATTTCTCAATCCTCTTCCTATTTGACATTTGCAGAACTGGCACTTTTGGCCACTCTTCTTAAAACTTGGGCATATTTTAGGATCCAAGATTCTGTGGTGATCCACTCTGCCTTTCTCCTGGTATTTCTCTGAGCAGCAGTGATCATCTCTATGATCTGGGGCAAGGGTGAGGCCAGAATAACTCATTTTATTGGATTATATACTTGAAGTAATTGAATAAGTTTCTTAAAGATAAACGAAAATTCGTTTTCAATTCATATAAAACATCAAAGAGAACTAAGTAGACACTGAATGCCTATAACTGTTGCTTAGTACGGCTTCACTATTCCCTATGATCAGTCTGCCAGATCTTTGGTGAAAGGGCTTAGTAACTGATTTCCAGTGCCTTGGGCCTATATTATTAAGTAAATGCAACATGCTGCCCTTTCTTCCTGACTTTACTTAGCTGGCTTATTAAACTACCACTGTGTTAAAAATTAGTCCATAGCTTTGCAGAGTTCCCAAGAAAAAGTTCAGACACCTTTACAAGGCCTTTCATAATTGGGTCTGTTTATTTACTTATTTCCCATCAGCTCCCCAAGGCAGTACATGTGGGCAGACCCATCCTCTGTCCCCACGACACCTTCTTTTCACACCTTCTTTTCATGGTAATCCGTGGCACCTTTTACATGTCCCACTTTCTTCTCTGTATCTCCAGAAATTCTACACAAGACCCCCGCTCACATCCTGTCTCCTTTGTGACACTTTTTCTCCCCCCACCTTAGAAATCCTTTGTATTACTCTCCCACATGGCTTTATTCTGGTTTCTGGTTCTCTCGGGTCTCCTTTTCTTTTCTCTGTTTGTTTCTGTTTTGTTTATGAAGCAGTGTCTCTCTGTTGCCCAGGCTGGCCACGAACCCCTGGCTCAAGTGATTTTCCCACCGAAGTCTCATGAGTATTGGGACCACAGGCACACCATGGTAGGGCTCAGGTGCCTTTTCCCATAAGCTGTTTGAAATTAGAAATCATCTCAATCTCTTCTAAGCCCCACCTAGTACAAACAGTGTAGTTCTGGACTCTAGTTTTAATCTAAACAGGAGGGGTTAATTTAATGTTGCAGCACTAAGTCTTTTCACAGAGATGGTCTTTCACGGGTATCTTGGCCTTTGTCACCCTACCCTGAACACTAAACTAAGTCTTTGGATTGACCCTTTAGAGCTCCTAGGATGCTGGCCTCTGGGCTTTCTACTTCATGTCAAATGATAAAGCCATGCCTGACATAACAGGTGCTCAGCAAAGGCTGGCTGATGTGATTCCACTGCTGCACATCCACTGTGGCCTTTCATTTCATCTTCTGCAGCGTCTGTAGCTTTTATTACAGAAATTTTAACTGTCATAATAGGCAACAGCCATCTATTCTGTTCTAACTCCATCATGTGTTAAATGTGATACAAGAGGGCTGGGGATGTGGCTCAAGCRGTAGCGCGCTCGCCTGGCATGCATGCAGCCTGGGTTCGATCCTCAGCACCACATACAAACAAAGATGTTATGTCCACCGAAAACTAAAAAAATAAATAAATAAACATTTTTTAAAAAAAGGTGATTCAAGACACAAAAAAATAGAAAGCCAAAACCACATACATAACAGCATTGAAGGAAAGAAAAGATTCCCAGGAGATCAGGACAGTTATGACATGCCACAAATTATTCAGTTTGGGATGCAAATTCAGCATTCTGGCAATCAAAGTGAGAGGGTCATTTGCTAAGTCTGTATTTGGAAGAAAAAAAGTCAATACTTWAAAAAWTTTTTTTTTTCTAAAGCTTAACTTAGAGTTAGGGTAAATTTCTCCATTGGCTTTCATGTAATCCTACAGTGCCTTTGGAATCATGACAGTCTGTCTCAGTATAGATAATCAGTATAACATAACAACATGCAGTAGATTCTCCAGTGATTAAACATTAGGTTCCCAGTAAGAGGTTCAGGAAGGCAGGCATGGAGACTATTCTCAAGATGGAATGGGGTTGTGATGGGCAGGACATAAAGAATATTAGATCATTCCTTACTCAGTGTCAGAAGAAAAGCTTCACACATATTTGAATCATTTAGTTCACCATATTATGGAATGGAGACACTGAAATCACTTACTCAGGGACTAGGATTTAACCCCAGTTCTGCCGATTCCAGCACTGGTCCTCTTAAGCTGGATCCTGGCAAGATCTAGAAAAGAAGAGAAAAAAGTAGGAAATGCTCAGTTGTTCCAGCAGATGAACAGCACTCCCTAGGGCAGGGGATGCTACCGAGCCAAAAGTAAGAAGGGGAATTTGAAATCACATAGCCAGATGGCAGCAGCCTTGAGTACTACACTTTTTGGATTTCATATTTTAGGTGATAAAGGAAATATGAGACATTTTTCATTGTGGTAGCTAGGTTGGGTTTGGGTGGGGAGAGGAATCTGGTAGAGGGGACAGAATGGCTTGGAAATGAGAGATGGCCAAAAATTAGGTGGGAAGCTGGGGTGGGGTGGTCTTAGAGTTAGTGGGGAATAGTAATGGACAGAAGAAACACTGTCTTAGTCCATTTGTGCTACTCTAATGAAATACTGGCAGGGCTCCCCACAACAGTCCCTCTTTCAACCACCCTTAAGGACCAGATCCAAACCTAGCCATTTCAGATCCCGACACACAGGAAGGATGTGGTGTGCCTAGGGGTACATGTGCACAGGGAGCAGCAAGAAAGGTTTCCTTCCTTAACCTGGTGTCCTTTACCTCTGTACAGCCACCAGCACCTGGGCACTGGTCAGGGTGCTGTATAAAACAGGCTGGGTGTCTAGAGTTAGCCTGCCTCTTTAACGAGTCAGCAAAGAACCCACAGCTTGGAGTTCCCATGAGGAAGTCCAGCAGAAGGGCTGGGTAGGCTGTTTAAGGAGAAATGCAGGGCCTCCTGGTGTGGCTGGTTCCAGGGAGGGATAACAAGTCAAGGTGACCCTCCTGTGGGCAGCCACTCTGCCGCCCCTGGCCGCCTCCTATACTTCCCGTGCACTGAGAGGMAAGGTCTCTTGCTCCTTTGTTTAGAACAGCTCACTGATTCCTTGCTTGAGACAGCWGGGGCTTGAAGTCCAAGTGCTGGGCAAGGGATGCAGATGCAACTTAGTGTGAGTGAAGTGGCTGCAGGTTTGCTTTCACCATTATTGCTCCAGATCTGTGAGYTTGCCAGCGCTGCACCACCGCCAAGGCCTCCAGTGGAAATGTGCACATTCTTGGCTTTTATCAACAACAAAACCCAGGCAATTTCAAGGTCATGTTTGTGGAGCTTTAAGCTAAATCCTAAATAAGAGTGTCCTCCCTTGCAGTCTCCACCATGACCYTCTGCAGGTTGAACAAGTGTGAAAGACAACATGTGAGTGGAAAATGTGCTGTCAATCATTGCCTTCTTCCATTCTCAGTGTTTACAGGGTCTCCCTGTAGCAGGAGTCCTAGGTTCTGGCCAGCAACTTACATTCAATAACTCCGGTATTGATTATTCTAATACTTCTCTGTACCGTGAATTCTTTGATGGTGAGAAAGTTATGAACTGCAGCTGAAGCCTTTCCTACATTTACTACACTTGTCAGGCTTTTCTCCACCATGATTCTCTCATGTTGAATATGTGGAGCGGTCACTGAAGCACCCTCTATGTTCGACACACCAGCAGGCTTCTCTCCAGGATGAACTCTCTCATTTTACACAAGAGATGGGCAACAGCCAGCTTTTTGCATATTCCATGATATGGTAGTCTCTCACCATATCCATGACCATCAAAGTTTGACCAGCACCCAGAAGCTTCCCTACAAACCGACATTCACAGCTTTCCTCCATTTTAAACTGCATCAAAATGGACAAACCCAGCATACAGAAAATCAATAAAACTAAGTTGAATGCAACATCATCAATCAACTGGACATAATAGCCACCTACTGACTGCTTCATCCAACAGCAGCAGAACATACATTCTTCTCCAGCTCACATGAGACAGTCACTCACCAACATAAACCACGTTCTGGGTCATAAAATAACATTTAACTACTTTAAGAGAATAGAGATTATACAGTGTCTATGACCACAAAGAATTAAACTAGGAATTAATAAACAGGAACATAAAATAAAGTCCCCAAATACTTGGAGATTAAACAACAAACTTGTAAATAACACATGGATCCAAAAAGGAATCTCAAAGGAAATTTAAAAAATTTTTAAGCTAAATAAAAATACATTAGAATTTGTGAAATAGAGCAAAAGCAATGCTTAGATTATGTTTATAGCAGTGAATGCATATACTGGAAAAGGATGATGACCTAAAATCAATCACCTAAGCTTCTTCCTTAGGAAACCAGAAAAAGAAGAGCAACTTAAATCCAAAGTAAACAAGAAACTTTTTAAAAAGTTAGAAATTAAAAACAGGAAGTTAACAGAAAATCAAGAAAACCAAAAGCTGGTTCTTTGAGTGAATTARATCAATTAGAGAGTTTGAACCAATAATTAACAATTCTAAAGCAGAAAGCACCAGGTCTAGATGTGTTTACTGGTAATTTCTACCAAACATTTTAGGATAAAGTTATACCAGTTCTCTGATTTCTTTTAGAAGACAGAGGCAGAGGGACTGCTTCCTAACTTCTCCTGTGAAGTTGACATTACCACAATCCAAAAAAAAAAAATATATATATATATATAAATATATAAAACAAGAGGATTTCACCAAGGAAAAAAAGTTGAACAGATATATTACCCTATATGTTCCACCATGGGTTTTATGAATTTATTGGTGAGTTTTAGAAAAGTAGAAAACTAAGGAAGCAAAAAGAAGCAATAACTACCTCCAGTGTATAAGAAAGGAAAATTAATTACATTATACAATGTGGCTCTGCTGGGAACAATATTTACATGGTCATAACGTAGATACCAATGGTGAATTAAACAAACCTCATGATCATCACTCCACTGGAAAGGCTGGGGGGAAGGATGTATATAGGAGGGTTGAGCACCCCTGGGTTGAATCCCTGGTACAAAACCAACGAAAAAAAAAAAAAAACCCAAATGACAGACCATAACCTTCCTCTACATTATCCTCTTCCCATTACTCTTAAAATCTTTTCTGACTTCTATAACCCTAGATTCTTTCCATGAAAAAGCCAGATCTCCTCGGGATTCCTCTGATCTGTTAATGGTGCAACCATTCCTTCAGGCTTGAAATCCAGCCATTACCCTTGACTCCTGTCCCTGGGTAAGATATATGAAGCAAAGATGATTCAGGACAAGGAGCAGAAAACTTTCCCCACTCCAGATGTCCAGATGGTGTAGTTGGAAGGAGTGAGGTCAATGGGAGTTTCCCTTTGAAGTGGGTATTAGGACCCAGCCCCTTCCTATCTTTGCTTCCATGCAGCCATAYAGACCTCTTCCATCGGACGATCTAAGCAACAGGGTTAAGCAACCATGGGCTCAAATTCCTGCAACCGCAAGCCAAAATAAATCTTCCCTCTTTTGGTTTCTCTCAGGTATGTGTCACAGAAACAGAAAGCTAACACACCTTGCCAACCTCCTCAGCTCCTCTCCCATCCTCCAGACCTCTGTACTCCTGCCAACCTAGTCTTCTCATGATTCTTGAGAGATGCCACGTGCCTACCTGTCTCAGGCCCTCTGCCTGAAGAAGCCTTCCATGTTTTCTTACATTTAAAAAAWTTTTTTCTTAGTYGTAGATGGACACAATACCTTTATTTATTCAATTTATGTGGTGCTGAGGAACAAACCAGTGCCTCACACATGTGAGGCAAGCTCTCTGCCACTGAGCCACAACCCCAGCCCCTGATTTCTTACATTCTAAGATGAAGGTTTTATTATTATTTAGGTGTGGCGAGGCCAACATATTAGGTGACACCTGTCTTTAGAAAGATAGTTTGTTAAAATGTACAAGAAGGGGCATGTTGTGCCATGCCATGCAGGGCTACCCAGAGCAGCACCAAGGTTGGTCMGGAGTGAGAGGAAGACATGGGTAACAGCCTGTGTTGTAGGTTATGTGGGAAAGAACAGTAAAACAGCATAAACGACCTCAGACTTTGCTGAGGGCCATTACCGAGTAGGTATGACGCATCAAAATCTCCTTGCCAGCGTACCCCATGCTGCTTAGGACATTCGATGGGACATTGCATGTATGCTTTAGTAAGATGACCCTGCTCAAGGTGATCGAGGGTGGATCCAGGTTTGAGGAAGTATCCTGCAGGTTTGAGGAAATATCCCGGTCCTTGGGTTTAGGGTGTTCCCGGTTTAAGACAATAGGGGTTTTAGGGAAGTTGGAGGTTGAAGATTATTGCTGCTGGGATTAGGGTGTTCCTGCTGCTTGTTCCCGTTGAGTTCTCGTGAGATTAAAATGGGATTTGGAAAAAGCCTGGTGGAGTAGGTGAATTGTGCGGGATATTGAGGATTGCCCCTGAACGTGTGTGGAGGCTGGTGTGAGTTCAGGAATAAAGAATTGCTGTTTGAACCTACAAAGCTGTGTGGTGGCTCGTGATTCTGTGCCAAGCCGAGACATTGGCATTTTGGCAAGACTTGGCCAGTATAACTTCTGCAGACTTCTGGGCCAAGTTGTCTCCCACCTGGCCCTGGTGTTAATAACAGGGGAAACAGGGGCCTAGAGTATAAAAGCCAGAGGGAGGTGGGAAGGGGGATTCTGGGCTCTATAGCAATTAGTTTGTATATGAAACACACTCTCCTGGTGGCCAGTTTTTTATATTTCTAGGAATTAGCAAATCTTGGGAGGGAACAGTCTGAGAGAARGGAGAGTCAGCTCTCAATAAGGCCTCAAATACCACAGCAACAAGARCAAATACAAAAATATAATAAATATAAATTTATTAAATTTTATTCATAAATATAATAAATATATTTACTTTTTCATCCATATCTCTGAGTTCAAATGTCATTTCCTCAGGGATGGTATCTATACTTCCCAGACTAAGACAGTCTCCTTCATAATGTCTAGCTTATGTTTGTTTTATGTTTTTCTTTCTGACCAAATCAAACTTTAAGATATGTTGTCGTTTTTGTCCACCTTTGTACTACTAGCTCCAAAGACAGGGCTTGGCATACAACAGTTGATCTGAATCAATGAATGAATGAATGTCTCCCAGCCTTAGTCACTGCCACACCAGAATGAAAAAACCACAAGCATTCCCTTTTACCTGTAAGTTAGATCCCAAAGGTCAGCAACTTAGAAACCACTTGACAAAGGACTAGTGCTTGGCAACTAGGAGGCTAGGTCAAATCCTAACTTWTGCCATGAATAGCTCTGATGATTTYATCTAATCATCATCTCTTATAACAATGGGGGCCAAGTGTATTTTTATTATTAAGGATATGTATTATTCTGGGCTGCATAATACAGGTGTAAGTGCCAATTAGAGTTTCTGCTGGATTCTGGGTTGAGGTCACGAGACTCCAGCCCTTTCTTCTTCCTCAATGCAGTCTGCTTCTAAAGCTGCCACTGGAAATCCAGCAAGAGTGGACTGAGGCTCCTCGAGGTGCCCAGGGAGATGCACTAAGCAATTCGCAATCCACCTCCACACTCTGGATCTGTGGAGGCCGCGCATTTCCCGAACACCCCGCCGTCCTGAAGCGAGAGGGGCGTTCCCCTCCGTTGTTCCCGGTTTTTGAGCCTCTTCCGCGRCGATTTCCGTTTTTCTGCCCTTGGGGACCGTTTTTTTTCCCCGTGAATCCCACCTCCGCGCGGCTCTGAAACACCGACGCCCCACCGACCGCCACCTCTGGAGGATTCAGACGGCCCCGGCCGCAGTTGTAGGAGATGCTCCTCGCGTCTCCCGCTCCCGCCCAACGCACGAGGCTGAAAAGTACCGGGTCGGGCTGGCTTTCCCGGGGCCACACGGACCGGGCCCCGAGAGGGGTCCCGTCCCGTCCTTCCGGCCCGGACTCGGGGGGCTGCACTCGGCCCTGTGCACGCAGGATTTCCCTCCGGTCCTCGGGCTCATAGAGTGCGGAGAGAACCGCGCCCTGCACGGCGGGCGAGAGCGTGGACGGCCACCAGGGGCGCCCCCTCCAGGCACAACGCCGCCGCCACTGACGCGACCACAAGTCCGCGAGGCCGGAATCGCGGCGTGGTGACGTCATCCCGGAAGTGCGGGGCAGCTTCCGCCCGGCCGCTGTGGGGGCCGCTGAGGACCACTAGTCGCTTCCGCGCTCGTTTCTGATCCGGCGCTGGTGAGTCTGCCGGGATCCTGAGCCCTGAGCTGGCCCACGTKTCGTGTTTGTGCGCCGGGAGGCGGGAGGAAGATGGCGCCCGTCACTTTCCGTCCCCGCCCGCAAGAGATGCGGGGCTGAGGCGCGGGTCAGCAGCCTGCCTTTGACGGCGCGCTCTCGCCCGCTGTCTCCGGGCCCGCTGTGTGCTGTTGGGAATGCGGGGTGCCCAGGGGTCAGACGCGAGCGTGGAGTGGCTCTGCGGGGCACCTTCCGCCCCAGGGCGTGCTGCGGAGCCTGGCCGGCTGCACCCCCCGGCTGCACCCCCCGGCGGCACCCCGCCCGCTGAGGTCCGTGAGGCCGCAGCGCCGCCCCCGCCCGGTGGGAGAGCTGCGGCGGGGTCCCTCCCTGCGTGGACACGGCTGCGGCTGGTCCAGCTCTTTCTCACAGCCCTCCCCCTTTTCTTTCCTACCGGTCGGTCTCATTTTCACTTTTGTATCCTTTGGTATTGCCATCCATCCCAGGTGTTTTAAACTTTTTGAGGTGAAAATTGCACACGGTAACGAGGTCTCCCTTTTTAGCATTCGATAGCCGTCCTGATGATTAGAAGCACTTGCCAAGTCCTTTCCAGGTGCTTGACGCTTCTCTTCTTTCCAGGTCTTGAGTAAAATCAAGTTGCCAGGCTGCAAGTGATGGATCAAGGAGGCCAGAAGAGGAGTCTCGACAGTAGTTCCTAATATTACAGCAGAGGAAGAACAAAAGAAACACACAGAGGTCTTGATTTGACTGGGAACAAGCTTGTGACTCTGGCAGGCATTTTTTGTGAGTTATCAGGCATTCCTGTATAAAAACCCTTCTTTTACAACCTCCCAGTTTTACTTACTTTCAGGAGGACTGACATAAATGTACATCTCTAGTAATAGAGCCATTGCCTGATCTTTTAAATGTCCATGAACGGTGGTGTTTTGACTTATACTCTCCTGCCAGGTGTTGAAGGCCAAGTTGGTCAAAAATTAACCTTGTCCTTATTTACTGTTACAGAGTCAGTTAAGATTTGTCAGGGATCACTCTTGGCTCCTTTAGGTTTTGCTCTACCAGTTGTGCCAACTGCCAGGATGGGCCAGGGTCTTGCTGACCACATGTGGCTTTTCTTGGAAGTATCAGGGACATTTCCCTCTCCAATGACCCTTTGCAGAATGTGCACTGGTTAACTTCCTGTTCTGTAGGGTCTTCTCCATCCTCCTGGTCAGAAGGTTGGCTTACCCACCAGAGTTGCAGGGCCCTGAGGGGGGTCCTGTCCTCTCTGTCCTGGCTGACCTTAGAGGGCAAGGCCCAAAATGTTGGCTGCTCTTTCCTTGGCCCTTTTACTTCCTTGACTTTGGTCTCCAAGTTGGGTTTTAATCRTCCAGCAGGTCAGTTTCACCAGTAACTTTAATGTTCATATTTTTATATTACCCTTTCCATTTAACTGGGTTTAGTATTAGAAGTCAGCCATATGTCCTGTTTTGTTCTATAGGTGATGACTCATTATCTCAAATTAACTCAGGTTGTTCTATTAGAAGCAGTACTTCAAAACATTAACAGGCAAATGTTTAAAAAGTTCTATAAGGAAAATACAAAATGAAATAAACGAGACAAGAAACATTCAGTTTGTATAGTAGCTTTGAACCAAGAAACAATTTCTATAATAACACTAATGAAGCTTTGGTATCTATTTTGCCTCTCCCAAAACACATAAATTTATCACCTCAATCACATGAGATCCTTTACAGATCTTACTGTCTTTTAAAACTGTCTTACAACCTTGCATGCCTTTTATAATTTGCCCAAACTCTTACCTAGTTTTGTATCCATTGTTTATTTTGAGATCAGAGTAATTTTTATAATAAAAAAAAACCCTTTATCTTTTGAATATAACTTTAAAGAGCTTAAGTTCAACCTTCTTTGAAGCCATCCTAACATGAAGTATGGTGAAAGGCAGAGCCTTTTTTCAGGTGAAGTGGGGCTCTTGGCTAATCTTAAGTGTTTTATTTCTGAAGTTGATCTTTGCTTCTTTCTTGAATATCATTTTACAATGTTCTCATATATTGTTTCCTGAGTCCTTATGAATATCATTTAACAATCTAAACCTTACATCTGAAACATGAATTGAAACAGAAGTGAAGAGAGTGCCTAACTTTCTTTTTGTGGAAGGAAAAAAAGTGGCTTCCATGTTCCACATATTCAACCTTTAAACAAATTGGGCTCTCCTTATTATCTTCCAAGAATATATTTAAATTTCTATCCCAGYGTAAAAACACAAATTCTATATATAATTTATTGATAACAGTTTACCTTTATTCAGTTATATAACATTAAATGACATTAATAAATCCCTAAATTTGTTATTTTTATATAAGTATAATAGATGACCACTACAGGACAACTTTAGTTTGGAGCACAGCATCTTGGTAAAGTGTTCTCATAAGCTCTCAAATGTAAATATATATCTGGTCACATATTTTAGGGAGCCAACTATATTGTAATAACCTAAAATAATATTTATCTAACTAGTTATAAAGTTATCATTTAAAAGACACAAACCTGGGCTGGGGTTGTGGCTCAGTGGTAGAGTGCTTGCCTAGCACATGTGAGGCACTGACTTCAATCCTCAGCACTGCATAAAAATAAATAAATAAAATAAAGGTACTGTGTCCATCTACAACTAAAAAATATATATATATTAAAAAAAAAAAAAAAGACAAACTTGCCAGGCATAGTAGTGTTTGCCTATAATCCCAGCAGTTTGGGGAGGCTGTAAGCTTAAAACCAGCCTCAGCAACTTAGTGAGGCCCTAAGCAAGTTAGGAAGAACCTGTCTCTAAAAAGTATAAAAAGGACTGGGGATGTGGCTCAGAGGTTATGCACCCTTGTGTTCAATCCCTGATGTCCCCCCACCCCACAAAAGCTATAAACTCTAATTCCTTTAAGACTTAGTTTTTTATTTAATAAAACCTAACAGACACAAGACATTATCTTTTTTATTTTTTTAATAAAGGACACAAGACCTTTATTTTATTTGTTTATTTTTATGGKTGTTGGATCAAACCCAGTGCCTCATGCAATCTAGGCAAGAGCTCTACCACTGAACCACGACYCGGCCCGAGAAATTATCTTGCTAGATAAGAACAGATCAATGCTTTAGACTTTGTTTCATATCAATGCCTTAAAATCTAACTTTAGAAAATCTTTAAATATTTTTTCCTAACTGTAGTAAATTACAGCCAACTTAATCATACACAAACATTTTGAGATTTATGTTCCACAAACCTTCTGCAACTTACTTAGACATTCAACTACTTGTTTACATTCTTAGTTTTGTCTTCTCTATTATCTTGGACTTTAGCACAAAAACAAAGCTTTATCATGCAAAATACCTTATCCAGAAACATACATTTTCATAACCATAACTTTTTATATCTCCCTTCTTTCAGTTGTTGACTCTTTCTTAAATTTACATTCTGGAATTAGACAAACTTATGAAATTTATGAATTTAGACAAATTACTCCTTTTTAAAAAAATATTTTTTAGTGTTGACGTACCTTTATTTCATTCATTTATTTATATGCGGTGCTGAGAATTGAACCCAGTGCTTCACACATGTGAGGCAAGCACTCTACCATTGAGCCACAACCCCAGCCTCCCCAAATTACTCCTGTTTAATAAGATGAACTACTTTACTATTTTTATAGTACTTTAACCAAAACATTTTTTATTCCTTGCATATAGAGTTACATGTATTAGAATTTTAGTAACCTTGCTTTAATTTAGGCCCAAAACTAAAGCTGCCTTAAAACTGTTCTTCCATTTACCCACTTATAAAAACATAGTTGGTGGGCCCAAAGAAGTCAAGAGCACTTATACTTAGCAGTTGATGTTTCAGTATTTTAACTTTGCAAATTAATCAGACATCTCTAACGAACACATTCATAAATGTTTATCCCATATGTTAAATCTAATTTACCCTTTTTAAACTCAGGTTATCCAAGGCATTAGAAAAGTCTAGTTAACGCTTTAAATCAGTTATTCCTGCTAAAGAAAAATCCTTAAAAACAATGGACATTGCATTTTAAACATTTTATAGAAACACATGTTTTCTTTATTGGCTGACCACCTAGGTTAGTAATTTCAAAGGCATCTGCACTCTTACCAATGTAAATTGACCCTTTAAAAGTTAAAATAGGGTTGGGGATATGGCTTAGTTGGTATAGTACTTGCTTCGCATGCACAATACCCTGGGTTAAAACCCCAGCACCACACCAAAAAAAAAGTTAAAATAGAACCTGTCACAGATTTTTACAGTATGACCTAGACATGGAAAGGGTATGTGTAGTTGGGAACATTGGGATATCAGCTRTGTGGACCCTGAAATCAAAGGTTCAGGTGGCCAGTCGTTCTCCATGGGGGCAGGTTTATTCCCACCATCACCACTGTTTATTTTTTCTGCTTAGGACTCCTCAAAGGAAAAGAATACTTATGGGATCTTTCTGTTGTTCATCCCTGTCCCTGGGCCTAGAATTTTTATTCTCCGTATTTTGTAGGTTCTTGTAATTTAAGTTTCCTCCTGTGTACTCAATTCACCACCTCCACCCCCTGACTTATTGGAGGTTTCTTGAGCACCCTGATCCCTTGTATGCTTAATTCCCCTTATTGGGGAACTCTGGCACACACCCCATCCCACTTTCCTGGGTGTGGTCTCATCTTTCTGAATAGTGTCACAYCACCACCCCTTGGGGGGTGGGTCTTGCASTCATGTCTCAGTCACACCCACATAACCTCCAGGATGTCCTGACCACAAAGGAAGTACTTCTTTCTTGAGAATAGATTTTTCTTCCTTGGTCCATGTATGGTGTTACCTGGTTGCCATGGTACTTGCTTGGGCTCTTCCTTCACGTGGTTGATCTATCTTTGATTTTGGATCTGTTGTTAGCCTCAGGGATCACAATTTACTCCCCCACTTCAAGGTTGTCATAAGGCAGTAGGATGTGTCTCCTCTATGGAGGTAGTCCCCAGGACCCCTTAGACAACATATGGAACCCCATGTTGGACACCAAAATTGTTAGAAATACCGGGGTGCTGCAAGGAATCAAACACATGCCTAAAAGTAGCTTGGTAAGGCGATCTCTACTTCTGCCAGAAGGGTGTGCTATCAAATCTGGCTAGCGAGCACACTGGGTAGGCGGTGCACCTGCTTTTATCCCTAATGCAGTGCTGCCCCTTGCTCTGATAGGAGGAGCTCAGGGTTACAATCTATACAATTGGCTGATTTTAATATTAGGGCGAGCAAAGGGAAAAGATGTAGTTAAAATGGCTACAGTTGGATCTTACATCCCAGTTAAGGCTAAATACTCTGTTTTGAGAATGCACCACCAAACTTTGAATTTCTCACAATATGGAGGGAGGTAGGTTTATGTAATGTAATGTAATGTTACCTGGGCAGAAAGGTTAGCTTATGCTAAATAGATGCTTACTGTATACATTTATCTTGAACTGTCCCTCCCATTTAATTAGTATCATTTTAAATAATTTTTTTTTTTTTTTTTTTTTTGGTGCTGGGGATTGAACTGGGCCTTATGCATGCAAGGCAAGCACTCTAGCAACTAAGCTATATCCTCAGCCCGCTACAATACCATTTTTAATGACACCATCTAAGAATTAATTGATCTGTGCCCTATATCGGCATTTCTTGGCTGACTTCCTAAACACCAGTGCTAAAATTTGGAATCCCTAGCAAATGTTTCAGTCTGCTCTTGTTGAAATAGATTTTTAAAATGATTGTTAAC